ATAAACATTTTTGTAAAGAAGTTTCAAATTGATTTGCAAGTAAGTCGAAGCTGTGAATGTTGCCGGATCGCATTATCAATAGCGAGAAGGACCGATACGTGAGGAAAAAAATACGCTGAGCCTTAAGTAAAAGTTTGTAAAACTCGGCGTGTTACAAGTTGGCGAAGGATGAAAAAGCGGGATGTGGAAAATCGATCAGGTTTTCGTCGGAAAGCGAGAAGAGGGTAAAAAAGTCCTGTTTCCTCCGGTTCCCCTGGAACGAATTCATACACAGGATCGTATTATCTGTTGAATCTCCTCCGGTGTATATATCACATATGTCAGTCTGACTCAGTGGTTTTCTGTCGGGGGCGGTTTCGCCCCCTTCTGTCCGACCGACCGGTTTCAATATTTTACAAGGCGCGCACCGCATTCGAAGCCGCTTCGGCTCCGGCGCCTCGGTTCGTTTGTAACTTTCGAACTCGACCGCCGAGTTCATGAGACAACGATTTAATTATTCATCGGTTGGAAAAGGGTGAAATATAAATGAGACGGTTTCACACAGTTAAATCCTTTCCCTCCTCCCTCTCGCCCCGATGCGACATCATTTATTCACCCTTTAAACCCTTTTCGTTTCATGTTATTGATATATTCTATTTTCAAACCCTTCAACATCTGCATCCGTATTAAATATAAAGAAAACAGAATATTATATACAAAACAAATGAAATGAAGGTAATTAATTCACAAAGATTGAAAATTTAAAATGCTTTTGACGTTCTTTATTCTCTAAGCATGCAATTGACCAGTATGGCGATTATAAAGTAACCGGTCGAAAGAGCATATTATTCATACTAAAAATTTCATTATTCATTTCTCCATGCGCTCTGCTACATCATTCAATTCAAAGAGTGTACTTTATTTTTTTTATTTCATAAAATCATTGCCTCTACAAAGCAACTTATGCCAAACATCTCAGATTCAACACCCCAATCTCCCAGGAAGAATCAGGCATAAATACTTCATGCCACAAAAGAGGATATATCTTAAAATCGATCCTTAATGAGTCGAAAAACTGGTGGAACAATACCACAGGTATGAGGCGCGCGAAGAGATTCATAGAAGGACCATCCGCAAGACTTACAAGAGATTTACGGGAAGGCAACTGCAACCAAACCAATATTCTGGTTGGACTCCTCACCGGGCACTGCCACTTAAGAAAGCACATGCATCGGATATCAGTACATACAGAAAAAAAACATTGTGCAGATACTGCCAGGAAAAGGAGTACTCCCCACAGCATACATTCTGTGTTTCTGTGAAGATATGCAGGTGCAGGTTCTTGTAACTATGACAAGACAAACTACAAGCAAGGTCCTACACTAATGAGCCGCTGGCAAAGCTGTAAAGGCTGAGTAATAACCTGAAGCTGGCCAGTGAGTTATAAAAAACAGGGAAGCACAAATATATCCAGGTCGAGGTGAAGTAGGCCTTGTGACCGCCTCTTTTATCCATATCGCTATCCTAAATGCTTGTATAACTATGATATCTGATAACAATATGAAAATTTAAAATGAACGTAAATCAACCGTTTCATAATTAGATTTTCCAGAAAATTGCAAAAGAAAGAACATGTACATGGATATGTTGACTGCTCCAGATATTCTATGCCGTTACTTTTTCATAATGCATTCAACTTTTACTGTGATGGGTGGTATTTAGTGACCGTTGGTTAATGATTATTTGGAGATCGTGAGATGTGGTCTGGTGTGACGTAAGTTTTAGAAAAACGTTTTCTTTATTGTGCCAACGTTTCGACCTTTATTGAGATCATCTTCAGGGCCTGCGATTTATAAACATTGTTTAAATTATAAAATACATGTAGGATGTGAAAAATGAATTTATAAAATGCTAGAAATTTTAGACTCAATCAAAATATTTGTACTCTTTCAAATTGTTTGTTTTGTGTGTAGATGTGTCTTTACGATACACAATAATGACACATATACACAGAAAACAAAAACTTTAAGTGAATACAAATACTTTGATTGAGTCTAAAATTTCCAGCATTGTATAAATTCATTTGTTCACATCCAACATGTATTTGTATAATTTACACAATGTTTATAAATCCCCAGCCCTGAAGATGATCTCAATAAAAATCGAAACGTTGGCACGACAAAGAAAATGTTTTTTTAAACACTACGCCACACCAGACCGCATCTCACGATCACCAAATATTCTTTTACCTTGAAACTCACAACATTATTGTGGTAAATAAATTTTAAAAAAATTATTTTTCGAACGGACAGCCAGGTATTCCTGTTTTCTTAAAAAAAAAATCCCAAGAACATGAGCTTCTTGTAGAAACCATTCGGAAAGATGGTGAGTTTCCATACCGTTACTGAAAATTCAATTGTTAACTACCATGCTTTCGACCTATCTTAAAGACATCATCTGGGGCAAAACAATATTAGACATATTTAATATTGTTTTGCTTCGATGATGACTTTAAAATAGGTCGAAAGCTGGCGAATAATAATTGAATTTGTTTCAGTATCGACATCATGCCGTGATCCAGATTATTCTTGATTGTAATTTATTAACTATTGTTTCTGATGACATGAAAATTTCAAGTAAACAAAACGCAAATATTCCAGGATAATTTTTTCAAGAAAATTTCAAAAGAAACAACACGTACATGGATATATCGACTGTTTCAGAAATTCTACATCGTTACTTTTTCACAATGCATACGACTTTCACTGTGATACTCACCACATTATTGTGATCTCAAGTTCTACCAAAATAAAAAACCTTAATGTGCCTTGTAGATAAAACATAATTGAGCTATGCACTTAAGCTTATTAATTGTTGCTAGATTGTTGTTTTTTATGTAATTATGTTATCATGTTCATCTTAATCCATTAATATGGTGTGGCTCAATGTGAGAATGTAATTTATTAGCGTGAATGGAGTGTCAAATATCTAATTACCCCGTGGAATATCGAATACTTTCGGATAGCGTGAATGTTAAGCCGACTATCATCTTTTTTTGTTTCGGTTTGTTTGTTTTATTTATTCCAAAATTTTCCAGACCGTGAGATATACAGGAGAGTATCAATTAGGTAAAGAAACGAAAGGGTTTTACTGGTTGGTTTTATCATACAGCGTCATAACATAGCTAGAGAAATTAGTAGGTTTATGAAGAAAGAAAAGGCAAGGTAAGAAAGAGAGGTCTGCGATGATCACTTTGCTGGACAAAAAACGGACAAAAATTACTATTCAGAATTCGGTTGGTACTTTTTCTTTAACGTTAAGTGTTTGATGTACATACTTAGTTTCTTACAGTCGACGAATTTTAATGTCCCTTTATTGAGCAATAAAAAATTAGCCCTTTTGTTCTTAATATTTTGTTTTTATATTGGCAGTTTTAGGCTCTATTGTTTTGGATTTTTGATTTATTTATTGACGAGGTATTCTGTAGCAAAGGTCATATTAAACATTTTGTGAAAAAAATACACTTTCAATTAATTTGGGTTTCGAATTCAGTTTAGAACCGCTCACTTTCCAGCCTGTTATACGTTTGATTTTATGTAGTTTTTAACTTAAATTTTCAATGTAATATACTAATTAAGTTAAGACTACTATAGGGCAGTAGCTCTACAAAATCGTAAAATGCTTAATTTATTTATTATTTAGTTTTCGGTTTGTTTGCTTTGTATTATTCTTGGCTTAAACCGTATAGTTTACATTTTACACGAAATGAATCCTCAAAAAAGTACCATTGAAGCATAGCTTGGGTTCGTTTTAGTCCATTGAATATTCGATATTTTAATCTATATATCATCATGACAATGTAAAAATTTTTTAATTACCAACGCAAGAAGATTAAAGAGCTTCAGGCGTAGTTTAACCTTCATTCGAGGCCAACATGTTTTTGCTCTGTCAAATAAAAAATAAAATGCAGTAATAGCATTTTAAACATCCTTGCGCTAATGACTAAACATACTTAGTCATGGCTCTTATTTCAAGCTTGAAAGCCGCTTAAAGTCATAAAATATGTTCACTCATTAACGTTAAAATAAAAGAAAATCAAAAGGCTAATGCTCCCTCTTTCAACCTTTAGGTGCAAATTTGAGATGATTTGAAGCATTGGATTTAACTGTGAAATATTCTATCGTTCGAAGTTAACTCGTACGTTTGATGATCGATACGTTATTAAACATACAATGTTTTTAAGATATTTATTCTGCTGATTATTTATGAACATTTATTTTTAATAAACTATGTGATGTATAATTTGTAGAAAAAAAGCCACCTTTTCTGCTCGCCACGCGTTTCTCGTCTGTCGGGAGCCGCTGCGCATCCGGCGAATTCTCGCGCACTCCCGCTCAACTTTTGAAGGTGGTTATAGCCTCCTCCATGTCATAATCTCTTTTAAGATTTTGTAGGGCGCAAGCGTTGATGGCATGTATTTCTGCTTGAAAAACCGAAGTGTTTTTCCCTAATGAGTTTCATTCCTCATATCGGCTTGTACAAAAAATACCCGATCCGGTCCCTTCGTTTGATTTGGAGCCATCTGTACACCATATCATTGTATCTGGTGCTTTCTTGAGTTCTTTCTCTCCTTTATAATCTCTTAGACTTTATAAGATGTTCTAAAGAATGCCTCCGGGATCCGGTATTTATCACCTTCATCAGGAGAATATTATTAACATTTCGGAAGTTTAACTAATATGAAAATTGGGGGGGGGGCTTACCTCTCTCTCTCTTCGACGCAAACTCTTAGCTTTAGGTTAATCTGCTTGAACAGAGTTGGAACAGATTTGTGCTGAAGTGAATTCTCGTGCTATTAAATAACTGTAAAATTTGAGGTTCCAAAATTGTTATGATAATGCCATTTACCGACTCACGTTTTGAATAGTTTATAGTTTTCAATTAAATTAATTGTATAAGATTTGTGGTTCTATGAATTCATTTTAAATCTAAGTACAAATCAGCAGTGTTCGTCTTTTTTTCGAATATCTTTATTTATATTATCTTTATAACCCTGTACAAGACTTTACTGGACCAGTTTGGACACACAGCGTGGAACTGTGGTGTTCTGCCAAGCCATCACCATCTACAACATCCATCCTTTCGATCAAAAGTCCTCAGACAAATCGTCAAAGATCCTTACTACGTCACCTAAACTCACTATCCACAGCGATCTCAACATTCCTTTTGCCAACGAATTGACCCATGCTTCTTCTTAATCCCTCACGCTGAGTGCCATCATTGGCTGGTGTCTCATGGTATATGTCTTCCGTACGCTACGCTGACATTAGTGTTATTTCTGTGACCGTGTGAAAAAACATTATGTAGTCACATTTTCAACATGTCGGTAAAAATAAAATAATAATAATAAACAAATTACGCAAACCGTATAAAGTAATACACATTTATTGATTTCTCGACCCAATGAATCGCATGGCAGAAAATAAAACATGTGAACCATGAAAAACCTAATAAATCGAAAATGAAGATTCATAACCAAGCAGATATCAATAAAATATCTTACACATTTTTATTGCACCATAGATAGGCATAAAATTTGACTTACTTTCTGAACCAATGTATAACCTTCCAACAGGTAAACCAAAATGATTAGAGATACCAAACTATCCCCTAACAGACGTCAAGGAAAATTTCACCAATTGTTTTATTAAACACGAAATGATAAATTTATTTACTTTCTCAATGTCAGCAGATCCTTTTCAATGTGTTTGTTAAAAATGAATTTTTATTTAGTAAGCCTATTCCATAAAAAAGTAATGTGGTGCTATGTGGGACTGGGTTGCAAGCCTGATTATGGGAGTCGGCGATGTTAAAAATATATTTTATGACGAGGGGTAGGAAACCGTTGATGTGCGTGGGGTAAAGAAGGGTCCTTTTATGGGATGTAAATGTGATACAAGGGACAAAGGAAATCAGATCGAAGTGACCCTTGTTAACAAGGTGCGTGGAGGCGTTTATATCAATAGAGTTTGGTCGGGATAACTGTGTAGAATGTGTCCCAGGGGGTTGGTTAGGGGCGGAGGAGTCCTCCTTATAATGAAGCTCACCTGAGACACCGGAGATTAATGGGGCCCGGCCCGGAGGCTTTGTCCCACCCGGACCTGTCACTCACACACAACCCCGTCCCCCGCAGTTACTTAATTTACGGCCACACCCTCCCTAATTGCAAGACTTCTCATTTTTAAACATAACTCCCACAGGTGGATTCAATCAGCTGTACAATTTGGGTACATATGCGTTTTTTATTCATTCTGGCCATTTATTTTATAACAGAGATTGCCACGTTTGTGAGAAATTACTTTTGACATGGCCGCACTTGGATGAAATCCTCATTTAAAAGATGAACTGACATTTAGAAATTGTTTGCATATTATTCTACTTTCAGCCTACATATTAAACAAATAGTTTTCCTTCTAAATATACACGCGTCATACGAAAGCAACATAATTTCGGATTATTGAATCCACACCTTGTACACTTTATCATAAAAATATATTGTTTTGTGGTCCAGTAGATTGAAAGAGGGAGAAAGTAAAAACACAAAAATATTCTTTAATATACATTTATTAGAAATCAAGCCTCAATGAAAGAACATTTATGTTAGATGCCATTAAAGATGATAATTAAAATAAGGTCTTTGGAAATTTTGACAAAACCAAAGTTAAAATAGTGCCAAATATTGGACTATTGTTTAACGCCCATGTATTATTACTTACACTTACTACAGAATGTACTAGAAAATATATATGTACACAGCTAAACAAGGGAAAAAGGAGATAAACAGAGATACAGATAGATGGATAGATAGATTGAGATGGAGAGAATGTGTGTGTGTGTGTGTGTGTGTGTGTGTGTGTGTGTGTGTGTGTGTGTTTGNTTTCAATATTTTATCCCCTTGTTCCTCATTGAACGCTTCAATATAAATTAAACCGTCACGGCCTTTTTTGACGTTTACTACTTTCCCTACTTCTCTATTTATTACTCTACATATCTTAATTGGCGATAGTGAGTGAAGGCCGCCATTATCTTTCCTATCCAATCGACAAATGATAAAATGTCTTGCCCCAGACGTACAAACAACAGGAGAGGGAGTCCTATTTAGAGGAGGTAATCGATTTCGAAAACCTTCTCGGCCCACTGGGCCGAGAGGGCCTTTGAAATGATTTTGGGAAATTTTGAAAAATTGAAAAACAGATGGCGTTTAAATAAAAAGAGAAAAACTAAATAAATAAATCTTGCCCAACCCTGAAACCAGGTTTCTAGAGAGATTCAGGCCCCACACTTCCCAACACTTCCCAATAGGGAAGTAATAAATTATTATAGTTTATTTTATTGTTGTCGGTTAATTCTTTTGAAACATAAGTTTTATTATTCTATTTTAAATTTTCATAATCATTAATAATAATATGATTCAAAGAAAGAAAGAGAGAGAGGGAGAGAGAGCGAGTGAGAGAATGACGGGGGATGGAGGGAGGGTATTGAGGGAGAGAGGGACACAGAGACTGGGAGGGGAAAAGGATGGAGAGGGGAAGAGAGTGATGAAGAAGAAAATATTCATTTTTTAAATTAGTAATAAATTATTATAGTTTATTTTATTGTGGCTGGTTACTTTTTTTTTTTGAAACGTAGGTTTTATTATGCTATTTTAAATTTACATAATCATTAATAATAATATGATTCATAGTAAGAGAGAGAGAGAGAGAGAGAGAGGAGAGAGAGAAAGAGATGGTTAGAGAGAGAGGGGGTGAGAAAGGTCGAAAGACAGGAAAGGAAAGGGAGAGAAAGAGAGAGAGAGAGAGCGATACAGTGGGAGAGTGAAGTGCGTGAGTGGAAAATAGGGAAGGACGGAGAGAGAGAGAGAGTGTGAGTGTTTTTTTAAAATTAAATAATGGATTTTTCACGATAAGCATTATTTCCTTTTTAGAAAATGGAATATATTTTCACTATTACAAAAAAAAAAAAATAACAGTTGTTTTTCCCCTACCTAATTTTATATAACCTTCGCCTATAAACGTGTAATCAAGTTATATCTTAATTTCCAATTGTTTAAATTGTTTTCCTGCACAATAGACAGAACATCGATAATTTGAAAATTTAAAACAAAATCAACTGTTAAATAACTTGGACAACAAACGTCCAACAGGATTTAATACCTTTTTTTAAACAAATAAAATAAATGGAATGAAAATTGGGAAACAGTAGTGCAAAGGGAAATTATACAATTTAAGCACACTCTGATATAATTAATTAATCTTGTACGGTGCTCCTTTATGTATAATTGTCCTGCAATTGAATAAATATTTTAATACCTACATACATGGATTAGTTGATTACAATGTATTTTAATTTATTCATTCGATTGTAAAAAGTATCGCCTTTTATAAAAAACGGGATCCATTCGATAAAAAAAAGCTGTTATACACAAAATATCGTTATTATCGCCAATGCAGTTTTTAAAAAAAATTTATAATTTGTTCTTTAACGGCGCAATGCTGAAACCTTATATCGATTATCATGTGTTGACGCCAGAACATATGGTAGTGTGGTTTCAAAAATTTCAATTTTATATAAAGAAAATTGGTGCTCTATTTATGATTCGGTCCTTAATCAAAATAAATAATCCAAATTTGTCGTTGGACGTGTTGCAAGATGATCTGCGACGAGCCAGTTTACGTAAGTAGTCGGTAGCGACATAAGTTTCACGCGGCAACTACCTGTCAGCGCTGACGACTCCTCGCCCGTACACGGACAAATCGGCGAATCGCGCATGAATCTATGCACGTTTTGTCTCAGCCTGTCGCATATCGTGGAAATATGCCTTTAATGACAGGACAATTCCGACCTGACCATACAGGAGATTCTAACATCCAATTGTTGGAAGGTCTCAAAAAGAGCTTGTAATAACCCAAATATCCGATTTTTTACATGCACAGAATATTGCCTAATTATCAAATATTCAAAACGATTTAATTCGCAGTTAATGAAACATTTAAAAAGCTCGAGGGAAAAATGTATGTTTATTTAGATCAACGATGTTTTCTTACATTTCAACCTCAGCAGTTTAACTTATGATTTTTCCTTCTCGAAGGTGATTTTTCCTTATCTCTAACCATCCCTTTATTTAGATCGATAGATAGATAGGGAAAGTAAAATAATTACTGTCAAATAAGACGATATAACATCCATATGATGGGTCAATGAAATACCTTGCAATAAATTTGTTCACATTATTTCTAATTAAAAAACAACGGGCTATTCCTGGATTCGAACCCTGAATCGCGTGGGAAATACGATTCGGACGCCCTAACAACTTGAATGGGTAGGTAGATAAAAAGGTACAGACAGTCTGTTTTTTCATTATTTACAAAAATGGATGCATCCAGATGAACAACTGGAACCGACAAATACACTGACTGTCGGTGACTGTTTGGATCACGGTGGTCATCATAAAAAAAGGAAATAAATTAGATAACTAAACTATTCTATTTCTTCTAACTAGTAATCTTCAACCTGTTTCTTGTTGTTGTCTGGGTATAGAAATGGCGGACGAGTCGACTAAGGCCAGTGGCTAAAAATTCATTAAAAATACGATTTGAAGAATATGGTAGCGTCTGTAGGTCGGATCGGCAGAGAAGCTCTCAGGTATCAAGAGCACTCCCGATAGGTGGCCTTCGGTTGATCTGATTCGTAGAAGAAGGTTCATGTTTAACCGATTATGGATTGGCCGTGCGAGTATGACATAGACATTTTTTGTCAAAGCCCCTGTATGCGTCCAGCATGTTAAGAAAGTTTGCACCGATATAAACCATCTAATTGAGGGTGCAACTCCTTGGCTCTAGGGTGTCACATGGTTAAATTTTATTACTGCCATGATTGGCTAACTAAACCACAAATTGTTCAGTGCCAACAGAACGAAGTTCTTTTTTGCCCCTTTCCTGAGGTATTAACTCTTTATGATTTTTGTCTAAAAAAAGATTTTTTAAATAAAAAAATCTTAATTTCTCAGTTTTAGTGTCATTGAAATACAAATCTCACCTTTATTTTATCTACTATATAACATTTTTCATAAGATAACATTTTCGTTGAAAAATACATTTTTTTATAATTCTAAATTGTGCATTATATATATATTTTTTTTGAAAATTTACGGGGATTTCAACAAAGTTGCCTTTTTTATTAGGATTTTATTTTTTTAGATTTTTTGTTATAAAATCTCCTTTGCAAGGCTGAAAAACGTGATAGTCAAAAGTAATTAAATTTGAAATTACATAAATCAAAAATCATAAATCTATCCGTTTCTCTTTTTTAAATTTCGGAGCAATTGTACATTCTATATATTTTATTAATTTATTGGTTGATTAGTACCATTGATTCCATTTAAAGACTCATCAGTTGTTATGACCTAACGATTTTTTTCTAATTCTGCTTTTTCTAATTTATGTCTAATTCTTGCTAAAATTTGGCACCATGATATAATGAATTGTTAATTTATTTAGCATATCATATTAAAAATAAATTTTATTTAATAAAATTTGTTATTGTTTTGGGCAAATTTGTCAGAAATTAATGATGATATTCTAATTTAAACGTTTTCGGAAAGAAAAATGGCAATTTCTAGCTGAACTGTAGATGCTGTTTTATTAATAATAATTACTTTTTTAAGATTGTTTTTATGTTGAATTCAAATTGCCATAAACAATTTTTTTAAGGAAAGGGGGTTGCCGTTGTGTGAATATGAATTGAAATATGTTTTATGGATTTTTTAAAACCGTCCATTTATGCCAATTTAAATAATAAAAAAAGTTGTTTTTTTGTTTTGCAAGTTTTGCTTTGATAACAGAATTCATATTGCAGTACTTTGGAAATCTTTCATTCTAAAGACAAAATTTTTTTACAAAACTACACGTCATAAACAGTATCAAATAATGATAAGATATGAATCATAGGCTGGCTACTAAGTCGGGCACAATCATATGTTTTGAGACATACAAAAAAAAAAACGAAAAAAATCCCCAAACCACTGATGAAAAAGGGGGATGCCCCTCTGGAGGATATGTCGGAGGGATAATGGGAGAGATTCCAGTATAAAAGTCTAATCCGGTAGACCAGTGGCAGCCATTTTCCTGGAAGCCTCAAATTGATTCTACATTTCAGCGAGAGGATTAGGGGAAGCCTTCCCTACAAGTTGTTCGTATAAAACCTACCCTAACTAACCGCACACCCCTGCGCTGAAGGGGTTCACTTCGAATCTTTGAATACATTACTTTTATGGTAATGTTTAATCGCTTAACCGTCTTCTACACGGGGCAATTCGTTGAATAAACAAATAGTAATTGAAATTTAAAAAAAAGAAAGAAAAAAGCACGAATATGTGTATTTTCTAGTCTTGACTGGTTTATTCTTAAGAAGGAATGAAACACAATTTCAAAGTTATCAATTTTACCAAAACGTGCTATAAGAAAAATCGATTCAACTATATAAACAAGTCTCAAATACGTACTGTTTGTTGTCCGAAAATATCGCTTTTACAAAAACACTTTTAAAACAATATTTCTTCCAAAGTTAAGTATTAATTTTATTATAACAAGCTATGGTTTAAAGTGCTAAATTTTGAATAGTTTTATGTATAATATTCAGATAAGAATATATATCAAAAACCTGAGCTTACACTAGTCAAAATAGTTTTTTCTGTTGCAAAGAAGTTCTAGATCACGTGCAACACATTTATTATTAAATCGTGGAGTGATGATGATATCGAATAGCCATTCTGGCAGAACAATAGTAAACATTGCATATATTAAGGAAGGTCTGTTGTACCCTGTTATAACGGTTGTATATATACGAGCAAATCGCCAATGCGTTATGTAAATTGACTTCGTTGTTTTCAGATTGCTCTAGTTTCTGATTTTATTTGATATAGAGTCTTATTTTGTTTCTTACAGTTAAATTGGTCTTTTTGTTAAGGTATTTGTATTATGTGTAGAGCATATCATTTATAAAATAACCACTTAGCATTTAATATTTAAAAACTTTGCTTGGAAATAGAAATAAAGAACAGCGAGGTCTTTACTACAATGTTAAAATTAGGATACACGCTGTTAGGTTTCTTCTTTTGGTTTGGGTAATTTTCTTGTTTATTCTTGAAAATTCAACCGGTGAAGATAGGATGCATATATAAAGTTGGAGCTATATGGGCTGACAAACAGCTGTGGTACTCTGCGTGTTTTCCGTCTTTTTGTGGTATTTCACACGTATTTGTTTTTACACTGGAGCCCCTTTAGTTTTGTTTTCGAGTTTGAAAAAATAATATATAGATCCTACCAAGCGACACCATTCGAAAGCTTGTAAACGAAACAGTTGTTCTAAAAATTTGCGAATCTCATGGAAAGTTTGGTCATTACGTAGTGAATTTTTAAATTTTTTAAGATTGTATCATCAAAACAGCCATCAGTTGGATTAAAACGGTTCCGCAGATAGTTCATTCTTTAGAAAATATACTGTAGATTTTCATAACTCAATCTAATTGAAAAAATAGTTAACGGAGTTTTCTTTCTTATTTTTGTAAAAACTTAGTTTTTTCCAACTCTGGTAACTTTTAAACTCACCTTTCTGACATTTAACTCCATTTATAGTTCATTATGTACTCAATTAAATTCTAAAAGCAACCTGTTAATGGGTTACTTTACAGTTGCACTTATTTTATGAAGACGTCTTAATCCCGAGCAACTCGTATAAAGTAAAATAAAAACTATTTTTATTAAAGCCAACAACTTCTAGTATATCGGAAATCTCTTTTATTCAAGATTATTGTTATAGATTTTTGTTGTATGGTACTTTACGGTTTTCTTTTTGGTAATATGATTGTCGTATGTATGAAGTATGCACCAGCGTATAATACAACACAATTTTTGGAGATTTGAAACTGTGCTTTAGTCCTTTTCGATCATTTTGAGATGATATTAAATTTGATATAATAATACAACAGTATAACTGAGATGATGATCAAAAATAAAATTTTCTGAAGAAAAATTGAACGTATAATTTGATCGTATCCGGTCATCCTGTTATACCCCGCTTATATTCTTGATCTAACTTAAAAAATTTTGCACGAAACCAATTTGGTCAAACCAGCCGATAGGCCGACCAAATAATCAGAAACAACCAAAATACTTAAAGCATTTTGTTATATGATCTAGATTTTTCTATACTTCTTATTCACTTCTTCCTTCGTCATTTTGTTGAATAATTATTCAGAAATGGTGAGATGCGGTCTGGTGTGATTTAGGTTTCAGAAAAAACATTTTCTTTATCGTGCCAACGTTTCGATCTTTATTGAGATCATCTTCAGGGCTCAATAAAGATCGAAACGTTGGCACGATAAAGAAAATGTTTTTTCTGAAACCTACATCACACCAGACCGCATCTGACGATTTCTATATAATTATCGATTAACGATCACTAATCACCACACATTTTGTGATGATGATGATTTCCAGTTTTCTTTCTCTTCTCCACTTGCGATTTCTGATTATTATCATTATTTTTTATTGACTCTTAAATCAATTTAGTGTTTATCTTTGGGTTTATTAGCCTCGTAAGTCTTTTGATGTCTATATTGCAACCTTTATTTCCATCGTTTTAATCGTTTTATTCGTTTTATTTCATCACGACAC